TAGGTAATTAACACATAAACAAGAATTAAAACATCAACATTGGAAAACATAAACCCTGTAATTAAACAATTTAGCAGTCCTAGTACTTTTTGAATTATTTCTTCAATTCATTACTATAAAATCATGTATTTATTCACCCACTACATATGTTTAGCTCCTACTTAGTATCAAGAACAGCTCTATGTGCTAGAACACTAACAATAAACACATCAGGCAAAAATCTCTGCTTTTTCTCGTACATGAAAAAACTCAGAAACAGAAAGACAAATACCAATATTCTCACCTATAAGCAGAACCAAATAATGTGTACAAGGGGACCATAGAGTATGGAATGATAGACCTTGGCAACTCAGAAGGGTCGGGGTGGAAAGGGGTGGGTGATGAGAAATTACTTAATGGGTACAATGTATATTATTCAGGTGATGGGTACCCTAAAAGCCCAGACATCACCACTGACCAATATATCTATGTAACAAAATTGCATTTATGCTTTTTAAATGTTTTATAAATAAATAATGTTTTAAAATATCTGCTCTCATGGAACCCATACATTATTAAATCATTTTTGATTATTTAAAACCATCAAATGTTGAAACTATAGAGACAATACAATGAAATTTAAATACAGGTGAGCTGCATAATAATATTAAAATTACCACTTATGGAGTGTTAATATATGCCAAGAAGTGTATTATAAAATTACACTATTTAATCTCTCCAGAAATCCAGTGTAACAATTATTATTTTTATCCTCTCTTAACAAATAAGAAAAATGAAACTCAAAATAGCCAGTTCTATATTCTGTTTCCAATAAACCTATCATTTGTGAAGGTAATCGGCCCGAAATGTAGACTCCTTAAAAAGGCATTTTCATCATTTGTCTAAGGTTATAAAGTTCACTACCATTGGCCAGTGGAAGAGGGAAACTAACTAGTGGAAAATTGTGTTAAGAGAATAGGAAAAGATAAAAATGATCAGAATGGAGGTCAGAGGTCAGCTATGTTTTGTAAAGTGTAATTTTTCACATGATTTCTCCCCATCTCTGCTTAGGGTCCAGAGAGCAGCTCACTGAAGCTCAATTTGAACTTAATTTCCATGACACTGTACCATCTGAGTTTCTTCCCGACTTTGATTACTCATCATTTTCCTTCACTAGCTGCTCAGCTTCCTCTTATCCAAGTTTCTGTCTTCAGCCATTTTTTCTTTATTACTTTCTTACCTATTGCATTAACCCAATAGTGCTTTCCAAATCTATTTCTCCAGCTCCGAGATTTCAATCTGCATCTATAAACTTCCATGACTTTTCAAAATCCAAAGGATTAAAACTTAATTAATTTCTTTCCTCTTGGCACCTATGTGTTCATTAATGTTAGCAGCCATGACTTAAGATCTCAATTTCATTTAAGTCTACATTCATTTATTCAAAAACATTTACTAAGAACCTGGCCAGGCATGGTGGCTCATACCCTGTAACCCCAGTAGTTTGGGAGGCCAAGGCAGGTGGATTGCTTAAGCTTGAGCGTTCAAGGCCAGCCTGGGCAACATGACAAGACCCCATCTACACCACAAATACAAAAAAATAGCCAGCCATGGTGGTGCACTCCTGTGGTCACAGCTACTTGGGAGACTGAGGTGGAAGGATTGCCTGAGTCTGGGGGAAAAGTTTGTAGTGAGCTGAGATCACGCCACTGCACTACAGCCTGGGTGACAGAGCAAGACCCAGTCTCAAAAAAAAAATTTACTGAGAACCTCCAAGGTGCCAGAAACTGGAGATAGAATGATAAGCAATACAGAGACATTTTTGTTTGAAGTTAATAATTACTACACTATATAATAAGTGACTATAAGTATTATAATAGAAGTGCTAAAACAACAAAAATAATAGACACCTAACTTACTTCTAATTCCTTACACCCTTTATTACTCACAAAGATGCCAGGCACTGACTAAGATACTAAAGGCACAAAGCTAAAGAAGATACAATCAATTATTTCAACAGCAGCAAAACAGCACATGGCCTAAGAGTGGAGAAAACTACCAAAACAAATAATTACTATCGCTGTGAAAAGAGTGATAAAGTTTGGTTTTGTCTCCAATAAAAGCTTTACCAAAATATAATTTTTGGCTTATTTTATATTGTATAAAGATATTTTCTGTACAATTCTTTTAATTTTCATATTAAATTATTGGAGGAGGGGAGTGAAGCCAATTAAACATTTTGAAGGAAGAGCTTGCCAGGTGAATGGAAATTAGGGCAGGAGTGAAAAATTCTCAGCTAGAGGAATTCCTCTTATGAAGGCACAGGGACTACCAGAAAGAGCTCATTGTGTTATTAGAGCTAGTACTAGTTCTTCATGGCCAGATCGAGTACAAAGAAGTGACAAAAGATGAGATTGGATGGTATTATAGGATTTTGCATTTGGTTGCAAAGAACAGAGTTCTTCTCACAATATTTATTCTTACATTTTTAGGGCTGCTTTAGTTTGCTGTGCCAATTCTAATTTATATTTATTTTTGCATTGACTTCCTTTTTCCTTAAAGTAGGGAAACATGCCAGGCCAAGTTCTCAATAAATGTTTTCTTTCTTCCTTAAAAAAGAAAGTCAATGCAAGCATAAATATAAATTAGAACTGGCACAGGAAAACCAGGCAGCCCTAAAGACCAGTCTCTGCTTCTCAACACATCCCTGCTTCTCTCTGCACTGTTCCCTCCCTGAGATGTGCTCTCTTTACTCACAGTCCCTGCGTCCTTATAGCTGAGTCTGTACGTGGCCTTTATTAATGCTCCAACCTCTGTCTGGCTCCTCTCATCTCACAATATTCACATTTTAGTTCCTACTTCTAATTAGGAGATCTCAATACTTCCTATTTCAAGCTACAAAAAGAAAGAGAACTTTATAAACCTGGCTTATTTTCCTTCTTCTAAGATCCTGGATAGCAAGTGGTTTAGAAGTCCATGGGTCAATAGCCAAGAAATAACCTAAATAAGGGTGTTTATGTTTATGTTACAAGAATAAAAGGTGATAGCTAAGACAGGACAGTCCCTGGGAAGGAAAAAGATGTAGGTATAAAATACACAGAGGAACTGATTGTGTGACAAAGACATGACTATGACTGCCTCTGAAATGACTTGGAATTTTTGAGTCATCACTGATCTTTGTAAGAGATTCAGTTGTGTGATGGGACAGTAAGCAGGATAAAATGGAAACTGAGAAGTGGAAATAGAAAATCTAAACCAGCATTCCTCACCCTCTGGTGAGGAATAGAGAGAGATAAGCTAGTAAAGAAATCTTCGGGGATAACCTAGGTTGAGAATGAGATTCTTTAATACATGAGATATCAATCAATATTATAGACTGAAAGAATAGAGCCAGGGATTAGAAAGAGAGAATAAAAGGTGATGACTAAGAGAAGAAAGACCCTAGGGACAGAGAAGATGTAGATATGAAACACAGGTGAAGAGACTGATCTTACACAGTAAGAGAGAACAGCAAGATATTTGTGAGTTTTATAGGTGTGGGACAAGAAAGTGAAGAAGTTCTCACATGTGATGGCCTAAATTACTTCAAATAGAAGGCAAGATCATCTTCTGATGGGTGTAGGGGGGAGCAAGAAAGGAAGAAGTGAGGAAGAGATGTTAAAAAGATAGCCTTTGAGAAAAAATGGGAGGCAATGATTTAGCAGTGCTGATGCACCAGACAAACAGACACTATAGTTCTCTAGTGTTGCTATCTTTACAGATTGTGACGTTCTCCAGCAATGTTTGTCACTATGAAAGTAGGACTATGGAAGGAGTTTTCATAGAGTTGATCCAAAAGTTTGATGTTTCCAAAGGTAATATGGCAGAGACACAGGAAAGAGTTGAATGTTGTAGGAGAATGACCAGAGTCTTGCATCTTCCTAAAGCTTTTGTTTCAGGAAAACTGGTCTTCTGATTGTTGCTAGAATAGAACATACATTTTTCTTGACCTTGTTCATTTGCTTATGATATTATTTTAATTTGGCTTCTTCCTCCTCATTTCAACTCTGTTATTTTACCCTCATTTCAAATGCTATTTTCTCTACATGGCAATTAATCCTCTCTCTTTGATCAAAATTTAAATTTCCCTCCAAATTGCTATAATTTTAACAATATTTATCGATTATTTCTTGAGTTGCTACCATCTACAAGCTATCGTGCTTGTTATCAATAGAGTACAAAATCACTCAAATTTATATCGAGCCGTTACTCTACCTTAGTATGTCTAAACACTTTGCATAGATTATATATAATCCTATCTACCATTATATATGGTAAGAACTATTTCTAGAACCAGTTGAGGAGTGAGAAAAAAGGCAGAGATAACCATAAGCAAGTCACTCAGCTAGCATGCAACAATGGAAGGACTGGCTCTAGCAGGTTCTAGCAATCAGACTCAAGTATCTTCATTTTAACCAACATACTATACTAGCTCCATAGGCTTTTTGTTGCATTGCTTTGTACTGTCATTGGAGAGTTATATCTTCCATTGGATTTCAGACTCATGTTAGAAGGATCTTAAATCTGTTTCTCTTTGTCCCTAGAAAGAAGTGTTGCATATAATAGTTACACAATTAATGGTTCAGAGTCTGGAATCTCACTGAATTATTAGAATGACATAAGAAAGAATTTTCCCAGATAGTCCCACGGGGGTATTTACCTCCACTTGAAACTACATTCAGAGGTGGTCTTTTCTTACACACAATCAAGGTGATTTGGTCCCTCCCTAAAATCTACAGGTTAGATAGAAAGGTTACCATTTTTTGTTGTTGTTGTTTTTTCTCATTTCATATTATTCTACTTTTCTTTGATTGCCCATGCATTCAGAATGAACAGGAAATTTTCTATTCCTTATTTATCTAATTTATTTTCTCAGTAAAATATATGACTTATGACTTAAATACATAGTATATCCTAATGTTTGAACTTTAAATGATCAAATTTAGAAACTTTGTTTTTTGCTTTTGTTATTATCTCCACAGCCCAGTGAGAGTCAAAGATTCCCTGGAAGACCATATCTATCTGGCCAGCTGCCACCACCGCCACCTTACAGGCCAAGATGGGTTCCACCAAGTCCCCCACCTCCCTATGGCTCAAGACTTAATTCACCACTTTCTCTTCTCTTTGTTCGAGGGCGAGTTCCACCATCTTCTTTTTCTCAGTTTAGCCAGGCAACCATTCTATCTCAACTCTTTCCATTGGAACCTATTGGACAACCTCGACTCTTTCCAGGTTATCCAAACCTACATTTCCCACTAAGACCTTACTATGTAGGACCTTTTAGGATATCAAAACCCCCATTTCCTCCTATTCCTTTTTATTTTGCTATTTACCTTCCCATCTCTAACCCTAAACCCCAAATAAATACCACCATCGCAGATAAAACAATCACCACAAATCCGCCTACCACCGCAACAGCGACCTCCAACACATCCACAAAACATACAATGACAGTCACCTCTTCAACAGTACCTATCTCTTCAACACCAGAGCCTGCTGCCTTCATATCAGCAGCAACCCCCACAGCACCTACTGAAAATACTACCCAAATTCTCACCAACCCTCCTCACACTGTATTGCTCAGTGCCACTGTCCAAGTTACGGCTTCCAACCAAACTACATTCAGCAGCACAATCCCTAAAAGTTTTTGGCAAAAGCTTTTTGACATTTTTGGTTGAAGATGCAAGAAATGATATTTTCCAAACTGCTCTGATATCTGAGAAGAAATAAACTGCGATGATTTTGATGGAACCAACCCTGACCTAACCAGCACACCAAATAAATAAAGTATTTGAGTAGTAATATGCACCTATTGCTGTCATTATGAATGACTACCACTCTAGCCTACATTTTGTCACTTACTAACACTTGATGAGTCAGGTTACCAGAAGTAAACAGAGGCCCTTTATGAGAAAAAAATAAAGTGTGTACTTAAAGAGAGTGGACAGGATTTTAAAAAGAATACAGGGCTATAGAGACATTCAGGGTCTCCCAGTGGAGCTGGTCAGGGGCCTGTGTTTGATGAAGCAAAAGGAACAAATAAGGAGCCCAGAGCCTGAAGAAGAGTTGGGACAATGAAGGAAAGGCCACCCAATAAGACCCGTTGTGCAAAGACGTGACTACTCCCAGGTGTGACTACCGCTCCTCATTAGCAGTCCACTCTTCTCTGCCTAGTTCTCAATCCTGGGAGGATAACCATACAAACTCTTACATGCGAGTTTTCTTACCTGGGGCGGCAGGTTGGTGGGGGGGGTTGATTAGGTTCTGCTGATGAAATAGGTGGAGGGGAGAGGTATAAATCTTTTATATTTGGTAAAAAATATTAAACTGGTACAACTGCATAGGTCCCTTGCCATGAATGGAGCTAGGCTAAGCTCCTAATAGTTACATAATTAATGGTTCAGAGCCTGGAGTCTCACTGAATTCTTAGAATGAAGTAAAAAATAATTTTCCCAGATAGTCCCATTGGAGTGCTTACCTCCACTTGAAACTACTTTCAAAGATGGAACTACTGCCTAGTTCTTAGTTCTCTGATTTCTTAGAAGCTAAGCTCCATTTATTGCAAGGGACCTATACGGTTGTAGCATTTTTTAGCTTTTATACAAAATAGTACCCCTACCTCTTTCCTCCACCTATTTTAACAGCAGAACCCAACCAAAATCTCACAGATAAGGAAACCCACATGTAAGAGTCTGTATGATCATCCTCCCAGGACTGAGAATGAGGCACAGAAGAGTGGACTGCTAATGAGGATTTACAAGCCCATAGGATGACACCACAAGTAGCCTCACTCAGCATCTTGAGACCAAATAAGTAGTCAAGGAAAAACATGATGGTTCCTGATTTCCTGTATATAGAAAAGGCAGAGGCAGCATAAAAATAAATTACATCAGTTTTCTATTGCCTTTACCCAGGAAATTTACATATATATATAAGATCAACCAGGTAACAAAAATATAAGTAAATAATAATATAAATTAAAAGAAATAATTAAGATATCTACTTAAATTGAAATAACACCTAAGTATTCAAATATAGACAAAAAATAAATATAAAATAAAAATGTTTTAAAACTTTAAAAGTGCTCTCTTAACAGCAATAGCCTATAATTATAAAGCATTTAACACAGTCATGTGCCACAGTCAACAACAACTTTTCAGTCAATGACAGACCATATAGATGAAGGTGGTCCCATAAGATTATAATGAAGCTGAAAATACTTTATCACCTAGTGATGTTGTAATCATCTTGACGTCACAGCATAGCACATCACTCATGTGTTTCTGGTGACGCTGGTGTAAACAAAATCACTATGCTTTCACTTGTATAAAAGTAGAGCTCACATAAGTAAGTACAGTGTGTAAGATCTGATAATTATAATAAATGACTATGTTACCGGTTTAGGTATTACTATACTACATAAATCATTATATTAGAGTATACTCCTTATATTAAAGCAAGCTAACTATGAAACAGCCTCAGGCAGGTCTTTCAAGAAGTATTCCAAAAGAAGGTATTGTTATCACAGATGACAGCTCTGTATGTGTTACTGCCTCTGAAAACCTTACACTGGGATAAGATGCAGAGATGGAAGACAGTGAGTGATATGGGTGATCCTAACTCTGTTAAGGCCAAGGCTACTGTGTATATTTGTGTCTTTGTTCTTTTTTCTTTAAGTTTAAACAGTTTAAAAATTAAATTAAAAAGCATATAGAATAAGGATATAAGTAAAATATATATATATGTGTATATATATATGTATATATATAATTATTTTTTGAGACTAAAGTCTCGCTCTTGTCCTCCAGGCTGGAGTGCAATGGTGCATCTCTGCTAACTACAAACCCTCCCTTCTGGGTTCAAGCAATTCTCCTGCCTCAGACCCCTGCGTACTTAAAATTACTGGCGCCTGCCACCACACTTAGGTAATTTTTATATTTTTAGTAGACAGGGTTTCACCATGTTGGACAGGCTAGTCTAAAATTCCTGACCGCCGGGCGCGGTGGCTCACGCCTGTAATCCCAGCACTTTGGGAGGCCGAGGCGGGCGGATCACAAGGTCAAGAGATCGAGACCATTCTAGCCATGATGAAACCCTGTCTCTACTAAAAATACAAAAATTAGCCAGGTGTGGTGGCACGCACCTGTAGTCCCAGCTAGTCGGGAGGCTGAGGCGGAAGAATCGCTTGAACCCAGGAGGCGGAGGTTGCAGTGAGCCGAGACTGCGCCACTGCACTCCAGCCTGGCGACAGAGCAAGACTCCGTCTCAAAAAAAAAAAATAAAATAAAATTCCTGACCTCAGGTGATCTGCCCACATTGGCCTCCCAAAGTGCTGGGATTACAGGCATAAGCCACCATGCCTAGCCTGAAATATTTTTGTACAACTGTACAATGTGTTTCTTTCTTTAAGATAAGTAGTATTAAAAAGAGTTAAAAAGTTTAAGAAGTTTATACCATAATAAAGCTACAATAAGCTACGTTTACACTATTATTGGAGAAAGAAAAATATGTTTTATAAATGTAGTGCAGCCTAAGTGTGCAGTGTTTATAAAGTCTACAGTCATGTACCATCATGTCCTAGGCCTGCACATTCACTCTGCTCACTCACTGATTCACCCAGAGCAACCTCTGGTCCTGCAAGTTCCATTCATGGCAATGGACCTATACAGTGGTAGCATTTTTTATCTTTTATATCAAATTTTTACTGTACTTTTTCTATGTTTAAATATGCAAGTACATCCCGTTATGTTATAATTGCCTACAGTATTCAGTACAATAACATGTGGTATAACTTTGTAGCCTAGGCTCAATAGGCTTTACCATACAGGTGTGTGCCAGGCTGTATCATCTAGGTTTGTGTAAGTGCAGCACTTAATTTCACACAACAAAATTGCCTAACAATGCATTTCTCACAAGTTGTCCCCATAGTTTAGCAACACATAACTGCAATATCTTAATACATTGATAATTTTATCTTTCAAAATCTCTTTCAAATTACACAATCATTATATATAATAATGGCATCATCTATATATTGATTTCTGGAGTGGAAAGTTCATTCTATCAATCTTAATAAATCTTTTTTTATTATTATTATATTTGAAATTCTGGAGTACATGTGCAGATTATGCAGGACTGTTACATATACACATGCTATGGTGGTTTGCTGCATCCATCCTCCCGTCATCTACATTAGGATTTCTCCTAATGTTATCCCACCGCAATCCCCCTACCTCCTGCTATCCCTCCCCTATCCCCACCCACCCCCCAACAGGCCCTGATGTGTGATGTTCCCCTCCCTATGTCCATGTGTTCTCATTGTTCAACACCCACTTATGAGTGAGAGCATGTGGTGTTTGGTTTTTTGTTCCTATGTAAGTTTGCTGAGAATGATGGTTTCCAGTTTCATCTATGTCCCTGCAAAGGACATGAACTCGTCCTTTTTTATGGCTGCATAGTATTCCATGGTATATATGTGCCACATTTTCATTATCCAGTCTATCACTGATGGGCATTTGGGTTGGATACTGTCTTTGCTATTGTAAATAGTGCCACAATGAACATATGTGTGCATGTGTCTTTAGAGTAGAACAATTTATAATCCTTTGGGTATATACCCAATAATGGGATTGCTGGGTCAAATGGTATTTCTATTTCTAGATCCTTGAGGAATTGCCACACTTTCACAATGGTTGAACTAATTTACACTCCCACCAGCAGTGTAAAAGTGCTCCTATTTCTCCACATCCTCTCCAGCATCTGTTGTCTCCATATTTTTTAGTGATTGCCATTCTAACTGATGTGCAATGGTATCTCAAAGTGGTTTTGATTTGCATTTCTCTAATGACCAGTGATGAAAAGCTTTTTTCCATATGTTTATTGGCTGCGTAAATGTCTTCTTTTGAAAAGTGTCTGTTTAGATCCTTTGCCCTCTTTTTGATGGGTTTTTTTATTTTTTTCTTGTAAATTTGTTTAATTCTTTATAGATGCTGGATATTAGCCCTTTGTCAGACGGGTACCTTGCAAAAATTTTTTCCCATTCTGTTGGTTGCCAGTTCACTCTAATGATCACTTCTTTTGCTTTGCTATGTAGAAGCTCTTACATTTAATTAGATCCCATTTGTCTATTTTGGCTTTTGTTGCCATTGCTTTTGGTGTTTTAGTCATGAAGTCTTTACCTGTGCCTATGTTCTGAATGGTATTGCCTAGGTTTTCTTTTAGCATTTTTATGGTGTTAGGTCTTATGTTTAAATCTTTAATCCATCTGGAGTTAATTTTTGTATAAGGTGTAAGGAAGGGGTCCAGTTTCAGCTTTGTACATATGGCTAGCCAGTTTTCCCAACACCATTTATTAAATAGGGAACTCTTTCCCCCTTGCTTATTTTTATCAGGCCTGTCAAACAAAAAATTGTTGTAGATGAGTGGCATTACTTCCGAGGCCTCTGTCCTGTTCCATTGGCCTATATCTCTGTTTTGATACCAGTACCATGCTGTTTTGATTACTGTAGCCTTGTAGTATAGTTTGAAGTCAGGTGGCATGATGCCTCCAGCTTTGTTTTTTTGTTTTGTTTTGTTTTTGCTTTATATGGTCTTGGCTATGTGGGCTCTTTTTTGGTTCCATATGAAATTTAAGGGTTTTTTTTTTCAGTTCTGTGAAGAAGATCAATGGTGTGATGTAGCATTGAGAATGTATATTCTGTGGATTTGGGGTGGAGAGTTCTGTAGATGTCTGTAAGATCTGCTTGGTCCAGATCTCAGTTCAAGTTCTGGATATCCTTGTTGATCTGTCTAATATTGACAGTGGAG